GTACCAGACGAGAGAAGAACGAAGCTGATGATAAAAGCGATAGTTTTATCTTCATCGGCTATGATCTAATTCGAAGGGCTACAAGTGTACAATCCAGACAATAAGAAGTTTGTGATTAGTCGAGATGTGGTCTTCAACGAGAAGGAGAATGGGATTTTAACTCATACAGATGACTTCAATTTTTTTCCTCTGTTTGAAGAAGATGAGCAGACAATGAGGGAGCAACTAGATGAATCTCAACAAGAGCTTGCAACTCCACCACTTCACCAACATCAACCACTCAGGAGACTCATCACCTTCATCATCGTCAAGTGGGAGTCAAAGTGAAAGAGTTGTGCAACGCACAAGAAGCCTTAGAGATCTCTATGAGGTAACTGAACGACAAGATAATCTTACATTATTTGTTTGTTTGCCGATTGTGAACCAGTGAGCTTTCAATAAGCGGTACAAGAAAAGAAATGGAGAGATGCGATGGACGAAGAAATCAAGGCCATCGAGAAGAATGACATGGGAACTTACCTCACTTCCCAAGGGACATAAGGCGATAGGTGTCAAATGGGTGTACAAAACAAAGCAAAATGCCAAAGGAGAGATTGAAAGGCACAAGGCGAGGCTAGTTGCTAAAGGCTATAGTCAAAAGGCTGGAATTGACTATGATGAGGTATTTGCTCCTGTTGCTCGATTGGAGACTATCAGACTAATCATTCTTTGGCAGCTCAAAACAAGTGGAAGATACAACATATGGATGTAAAGTCCGCCTTCCTAAATGGAGTTCTTGAAGAGGAACTTTACATTCAGCAACCATCAGGCTATGAAGTCAAAGGGCATGAAGACAAGGTGTTGAAGTTGAAGAAGGCTCTTTACGGGCTAAACAAGCACCAAGGGCATGGAATAGCCGAATCGACAAGTACTTCCAAGAGAATGGTTTCAACAAATGTCCCTACGCATGCTCTATATATCAAGATCAAAGATGAAGATATTTGATCGTTGCCTCTACGTGGACGATTTGATCTTCACTGGAAGCAACCCAAGCATGTTTAATGAATTCAAGGATGTGATGATGAAAGAATTCGAGATGACAGACATGGGGCTCATGGCGTACTACCTTGGCATTGAAGTTAAGCAACAAAATGATGGAATTTTCATTTCACAGGAAAGCTATGCAAAGGAGATACTGAAGAAGTTCAAGATGGAGAACCGTAAGCCAATAAGCACACCGGCAGAATACGGGATCAGATGACCAAACATGAAGAAGGCGAAAGTGTAGATCCAACATTCTTCAAAAGTTTGGTAGGAAGTCTACGCTATCTAACTTGCACGAGACCCGATTTCTTCACGCAGTTGGATTGGTTAGTCGCTACATGGAATCCCCAACAACCACCCATTTTAAAGCTGCAAAGAGAATTCTTCGCTATCTGAAAGGTACAATTGACTTTGGCTTGTTCTATTCAGTTTCTAATGATTACAAGCTGTGGATATAGCGACAGTGATTGGGGTGGAGACATAGATAATCGAAGGAGCACTGGATTCGTATTTTTCATGGGAGATATTGCATTCACATGGATGTCAAAGAAACAACCGATTGTCACATTGTCCACTTGTGAAGCGGAATATGTTGCTGCTACCTCATGGTTTGTCATGCAATTTGGCTTAGAAATCTATTGAAGGAGATTGGTTTGATACAAGAAGAGCCTACCAAGGTTTGTGTCGACAACAAGTCAGCCATTGCCTTAGCGAAGAATCCAGTATTCCATGATCGAAGCAAGCACATTGATATTCGCTACCACTATATAAGGGAGTGTGTTGCAAGAAAAGATGTGGAAGTTGAATATGTGAAGTCACAAGATCAAGTTGCTGATATTTTTACCAAGCCACTGACCAGCGAAGACTTCTTAAGATTAAGGAACCTACTAGGGGTCACGAGATCAAGTTTAAGGGAGGGTGTTGGATCATAAACTTGATCCATTATGGGAGCCTAAACCCAAACCCAAACTAAATTGATGTCATTACTTACATCATTTAATTAAAGATGTCATTGCTTACATCATTTAATTAATGATGTCATTGCTTACATCAATTTAGTTAGGTGAGAGTTAGATATTTGTTGAATTTGTAATGGTTTAAATTAGTTTATTTGTGTGGTGTAGGATTGTTCTTGAGTAGTATAAATACCCCTTCCCATTTTAGTTTTAAGCATCAAGAAAAATTAAGAGCTTCTAAGTGAGTGAAGAAGCAAAGTCTTATAAGAGTGAGTTGTAGTTCTTGTTTTTGAGTGAGAGTACTCTTGTAATATTTGTTTGAGTTTCAATAAAAGTTGTTTGTGTGAGTGTTTTATTTCCAACAACCTGCAGCCGGCCTGATCGAATTATACCAATAGCAGAAAGATTTGGAATGAACCCAGGAGCTGTTCTTGACAATGTAAGCATCAACATCCTTTTTTTTTCTTTTTCTTTTGATGCATCAACATCTATATTATCATCGAGCTTAGAATCATATTTTAAATATACATCCCATTTTCTATGAATGTCAGATTGCTTATGCTCGTGCGTACACATATGCGCATTAGTGTAACCTGCTTCTGGGTTTAGCAGCAAAAATGTCTGAAGGACCATTCAGGCTTCTGGTGAGCATTGATGATAGCGTCATTCCGTGGTGCTGCTGATATTAAGGAATCAGCCTGATGATGTTTGTTTATGCTTCATATGTTTCAGATTGTGGACTGTGTCATTGCTCTATTTCGAGTAGATTTCACTAGAAGAGGAGAACTCGCCGAGCGCCAGGTTTATCCCGGCTTAAAATGTAAAACCTTGTTTCTGAGTCAATTCTCATGCATCCTCACATGAACCTCTCCATTTTTTTCAGAAAAAATTGGCTCAGATGCTTTCCCGATTGACGAAAATAGCTGAAGAATTCAATGTTGCAGTCTACATGACCAACCAAGGTTTGCAACTCCATCTTCTTTAGTTTTTTTATATTTTTCCAGAGGCGAAACTACGATTAGAGAAAAACCGGTATCTACATTCTACAAACAGGGTTCAAAATGGAGGTCCATAGTTAAACCATGTTAATGGTTTATTAATGTTTGTTGCATCTATTGCCGATCCTGGTGATGGAGTGTTTATATCAGATCCAAAGAAACCAGCCGAAGGGCATATTCTTGCTCATGCGGCCTCAATAAGTTTGATATTCAGGAAAGGCAAAGGTGAACAGCGCGTCTGCAAGGTTTTTGATGCCCCAAATTTACCCTAAGGCTGAAGCAATATCCTTTACCTCAATTTTTGTGTAGAATTTTTTTTATTACCCTAATCACTTGATGTCGTTTGATCATGATGACCAAACTATCAGTTACCCACTAGCTCGGTTCATCATGATCAGCGACTAGAAGCAAGGATACCAATTGGACGGGATATAGATACGAGGATGTTTTTCATGTATCCATTCCTGTCAAGAATTTCCATAAAACGGTTTTAAACTAAACCCTATGATTACAATTTTATTTGGTTATCCTTGACATAAACAAGTCTTTCAGATAACACCAGGGGGCATTGCATACGCAAAGGACTGACTCGGAGGTGAGCCCATGATTGGCAGCAAAATCGTACGCTAAAATAATATACCAAAATTTTCTAACCATTTTCAACAGTAGCAAATTTATTAATTGATCCCTCAGAAGTTAAGTTGCTGTGAATGGATTTGCCCTCGTATAGTTTCCGTACCTATATGCTAAGTTCGTTTATATGCACGAACAAGATACAATATCCAGCAACAAAAGGGAAAAACAAAAACAAAAACAAAACAATTGTGGTAATTTTAGCCTATAAAAACTATGAAAATGTGTTACTTTTGTTCCCCCGCTAGTGTAACTAAAGGGCTGTTTGTTTGTCTCTTAATGGAAATGTTGAACCGTTCAACATTCAGCGCGTTTGTTTCACACCTCTGAATGATTTAGTGCTGACTGATTTAGCAAAACAGTGCTAAATGATTCAGCACAGAAGTACATTCTGAATGATTCAGAATCATTATTAAACAGCATGTCACGTTCAGAGTTAATTCATACAAAACCTCTGAATCATTCAGTATTTGAATAATTCAGCGCTTAATCATTCTGAAGTAAACAAATAACTCCTAAATTGTGTGAATATAAATAGTATGAAATTGATAGAAGTCGGTCTAAAACATTAACTGTCAAAAGTCTACACTGAAAGTAAAGTACAAGACTTGAATAAAAACATACAACAACAAAATGTTTGGTTGCATAATGTTTGTAAACTCGTATATAGGATTCTCCCTATGATCCTTTGGATAATGAAACACAAATGAAATTAATACTCAGCCATCAAGTAGCTCAGACTCGATTGTATGCGACCGATTTGCTGAAGAGATGGTGGATATAGATAACTTGAAGTGTACTGACTAGAGTAAGCAGAATGTACTCTCCAACTGCGTAACCTATAACTCGCGTTCTTGTGCTCTCGTTTGCTGCCATCCAAATAGTACACAACTATTAGAAAGTGTTTCCCATAATGGTCTAATTAGCTATGCTACCTGGACTCGTAATTTTTTCATAAAGTATACGCGTCTAATAGCTTCGTCTGACACAAATCGAACATGGAATATTCTCCAAATATATGAAAAAAACATTGAAAAATTCCGAATATATCCATGTTGGACCCAGGAAAAGTTACGACTATTCTGCCTAGAAAAAACCATTAAGCTAGCCATCTAAAAACCAATAAAATCAGATGATGGCAAAAGCATGAAACTGAAACATCTTACTATGACGATGCCGAGTATCACGGGCTTTCAAATACTTTTGTTCTGCTGTAACAGACTCCAAAGCCTCTCTCAGCTCAGCGATTTTAACATTAATTGGGTCCAAATGTTCTGCGACAAAGAGAACCGAAGAAAAATTACAAAATAGAAAGGAAAACAATAATAACAACAACAAAATGTGATTTACGCCTACGAAATGGGCAGAAAAAGCAACTTAAATGCTAGAGTCAAAGTTGAAAGCCAATAACAACGGCAAGATAACAAAGAAATTGAATATAGAAAGAAACACTCTCCGGTGTAGAGTAGGGATTGTGAAAACAAAATTTGTACATTCCGCTTCGTGTGGCCTTGAATTCGAACTTGTCCCCAGATGTCCCCTTCAAACTGTGAACCGTATTTCCCCCAGGAGAAGTCACCTGCATTAAGCAAGAGATTAAACAGATAATAATCATCAAGCCTTAAAATAATACCAATAAATAGACATAACAATCTCTGTACCCAGTGTTAATTTTTCGTATCATTATCATAGTTATGGTATAATAATGTGTTATATATGTATATGTGTGTGTGTATAATGTTATGCTATTCTCCATATTGCACCAATTGTGTTGTGTTATACTGATTCTTTTGTATCGCATTCAGTCTATCTATCGACGATCCACATAAGCACCAGCGGATGGTGGAAATTTTTATTAGCCTTGGCACCTCAATGATTGGGGAAATTTGCATTTTACTACTCATTTTTTAGAAATTTTAATTAGGCTCCTTTAAAATTCTTAGAAATCATTAAATTTTTTAATTTTTTGAATTAAGCCCCTCAAAATTGTTAAAAATTCTTATTAAACCTCTCAAATTTTTTGAAAATTTTAATTAAGTCCTTCACTTTTTTGAAAACTTTGATTACCCCCCAAACTATTCTGCTAAGATCCCCACTGGACATAACCCTAAAATTAAACAGAAACAAATCCCACAGATCAATTCAATTCAAAATGCATGGATCAAACAACCATAGGTCATGGATCAAAGTTTTCCGACATAAAAAAAAACCACCCAAAAACATTAAGGAATAAATGATTCCACCAAAGAAAATACATCGCATGCCTCAACATGTCACTGAAAAAAAAAATCTTTACTAAAATAATTAGAAAATATCATTAAAAAATCAACCTTCAGTGAAATTCAATACACAGCTATCAAATTAACCCAAGTTTCACCAATAAAAGACATCGAGCTTAGATATCGGATAATAAACTTACAGTGAAATCAATGCCAGGGTGGTCGGAGCCCCAGAAAATGTCGTGGACAACGACGACAAAGTTGCCGGAAATCGTGTCTCCTTCATAAATCACATACTCGTACACACATTCGACGTCGTTTACGGTCACCGAAAGAGTTTTACATTGTGTAAGTGGATTCTCTAAAAATGGACCGAGGGAGTGTTAGAAGATGTGGTCGCATTCTCTAAAAATTTAAAATTATATTGTATTTTAAGATTTATATATATATATATATATATATATATATTACATGCATTATATAATTTCGCATATCTTGAGATTTTATAGTTTTACATTCCAGACATGAATTTCTGCTTACGTCTTTGTATATATCCTCGTTATTATTGTGGTTTCTTTACATTTTCCTTTTTAAAATTATTTATAAGTTTTATATAAAAGTTATTATTTAAAATTCATATTTTTTTAATTTAAATATCTATATTTTTTAGATTAATTTTATATGTAAATATGATAGAATTTTGTTGAATTAATATTTTTATTAATGTGATATTTTAACAATTAATCAATTTCTTAAAAAGACCTTAATAAGAATTTATTTGATGAGTTTGAATTTAAACAACTACATCTATAAGGTGTGTATATAATGTTATAGATAAAGAAAAATCCTAAAAAATATTATTTTTTTACTTTATATTATTCAAAAAATCTTAATAAATAAAATATTAACATTATTAAATGTCATACCAACATATATGAGATTTCTTCTTAAGTTCAAACGTTAAAGTGGTTAAATATATATATAAGCTAATAAAACCTGTTAAATTTTAATACCTATTTATATATTATATGATTTTATGTTTACTAGTAGTTTATAAATTAGAGTTATAAGGTTATAACTGGTACCTTCATTTTTTTATTACTCTTTATGTATGTCGTAACCGTCTTTCGGTTGACCATTGGAATTGGGCTTCGACTTAGATTAAATGAGTTGGAGTCATCACCGATCTTTTATTTTAAAATAAATGGGTAGATCAGATACCTTATTTCTTACCTAATCTGCTTCTTACCAAAGATGTGTTGGATTCGGGAGTCGGTTACAGTAAAGGAAGGGTTAGCACTCTTGAACTGCCATTTCGGTACTACATAATTTCCAGTTGTCTTAAATTAAGAAAATTGAAGGTTTAAATTAAAAGGTAAAAATATGATCCGAATTACTTACCTCTGATTGACTGAACGAAAACCCTTAAAAGACTTAAATGTTAAATTTAGAATGAGAAGCCGAATTCAATATAAAATGCTAATAAACAAAAAATGATGAAAATGATAATAAAATAAATAGTACAAGGAAAACAAATAAAATGATAAAAATAAATAAACAGAAAATAAAATGAAAAAATATAAATAAGGAAAAAATATAAAAACATAAAGAGAACAAAAATAAAACAAGAGTAAAAAATAAAGACAAAATAGAAATGACACGTACACAAAAGTAAAAAAGATAATAAAAAAATATAAAGGATATATATATATATATATATATATATATATATAAGTTATCATAGTTAATAAAACAAGTAAAAACAATGGTTAAGAAAAATAATAGATATATAAAATATTATGTAAAAATGAATAAATATATACATATGTAAATAAATGCTAGGAAGACAAAATAATAAATAAAAAAAGAATATTTATAAGAAAATAATAATAATAAAATAATAGTAAAAGAAAAAAATAATATATATATATATAATAACGTTAAAATAAATAAATATAATAAAAATATTCAATGTTCAAATAATAATAAAAAATTGGCTTTTGAAAGGTGACTAAATCGAAAGAATCGAAACGTGGAGGTCCAATCTCGAAGCAATTATCAAGATGTAAACTTAATTTGAGGTTAAAAAGAAACTTTAGAGGCAACGAGGGATCAAAAGGGTAATTTACCCTATTTTTCTAGAAAACACGCGGATCTCCTAGGGGATCCGCTTGGGTCACGGGTCGGGTACACGGGCTAAGTATAAGGCCCAACAAAATTTTTATTCCCTTATTTCTTTTCCCATTCGAATCGAATCCCCCCCAATCTCTCTTTTTTCTCTCATTTGTTCTTCCAAATGAAGAACAGTTGCATGGGTTCTCGATTAACCCAGAATCCGACCGCCGTTGTCACCTCGCCTGCCGCCATTCATCGGCGGCAAACCTTAAAAAAATTTGATTTTTCCGAAAGCTTTTCTCTCCCCCTTTTCGAATATGCGTTTTGTTTTTTTTTTAAAATACCTCGGGGAGGCAAGATCTAAAATCGAAAAAACTTCGAAGCCCCTCCCCTTTTCATCGACGATGTGACTTTAACAAATCGAGGAAAAGATTGAACAACACAACATGCAAGCTAGAATCAACCGAGCAAGGTAAGGAAAAATGTAACCTTTTTTATTTCCTATTGCTTTTCGAAATGAACAAGGCTTGCTTTCGATTTTGCTTGTAATCTTTGCGAGTATTTTGTGTACAACCGTGTTGTGTTTACAATGGGTTCGATTACATGTATTTATAGTCTAAAAAAGAAATTATTCTTAGAGATTGAATCCGAGTAAAACTCGGTTTGGTTGTAGTTGTTCGAAGTCCCACTAACACACGATGCTTTGCTTGTGTTTCATGTGCTTATGTCTGATGGTGGTTGTTTGATGTTGAGGAGTTCACGGCGCTGAGAAAATCGGTTGAGGGAAGCGTGAGCGGTGAAGGATCTTCGTACAAGGGCAGGTGTGGTGCTGGGGTGAGCAAGTTAGGGTTTGAAAACCCTAGTTAATTCGGGTCGTGGATTTGGAGCGGGTTCGGTTTGCGGGTCCACTGTTCAACTCGGGTTGCTCCAAGTACTCTGCTGGGTTTGTAGTTCCTTGGGCCAGCTGGATTTATTTGCTTGTAATGGTTTTGGGCCACATGAAATATTAGACCTGTGAAATGTAATAAAACAATTAATAAATATAAATACATTTATTATATAATATAATTTACAATGTGAATACATTATATAATATAATAATAAGTTAAGGACGAAATGATATGTCTACAATGTGTTTAATTTATCATATTAAATTTATCATTTTTTTTATAAACCTAGATAAATATAAGACAACATTTGTTTAAAAACTCTTTACATATCCTTGCATACACAGCGTTTAAATTTAATATCCCAAGACATAATAATAAATTATTTGATTACTTAAATTACTTGATTCATGATAAATTTAACATATTAGATGTTAGTCTTTAATACAAAATAAATGTTTAAATGACTAAATAAAGAGCTTGCCCTAAACATAACCTATCTCATCTCAGTAAGCAAGTCCTTGAACTAAGAATATAGTCGTGCGGACCTTATAGTTGCTTTGGATATCCCAGGCAACCCCTTAAAATTGTTTATTTAGTGTTTTTTTAATTAATACAAGTGACACCTTTAATATTGTGTGTAATTATTGCTCTTTATTATAGGAAAAAATTAATATCTTATTTAAAATTAAAAAAAGAGATCAATCCCAAAAAATAAACCTTTAGCCTATGAATAAAGTATCTATTTTTATTTTTATGGAAATTAGGATACACCTAAAATTTTATAAACCTTGAATTTTTGTCCTGGGCCAGTGCATACTGAAAGGTTCACGTTTCGTTTACGGTACATGCAATGACACCACATTGTTCTGGTAATACAACCAGTCCCACGTGGCTCAATCACCTTTTACGGTCCATGCAAAGACATCATGATTTCTGGTAATAAAACACTCCACGTCAGCCAACTTTATCATGTGTGGACAACCAATCCCACGTGACTCAGTAACCTTTTAGAATTATATACAGAATCACGTGGACGCATAAGTATCCACTACCCCTTAGCCCCTCCAATGCTATTTAAGCTAACGCTGCAACTTTAACTCACCATCATCGATTCATCATTCATAAAATTATTGCCTGCACTTTCTCCATTACAGCTTCACTTTAGGGTTCTTTATTTTTTTCTTCTTCTTCTACCACGTATCAGAAACTGTATATTTCGACGTAAATGGCGGCAACAAGTGCAATGCAAATGCAATCCCTCCTTCTAGCAAGCCCCGTGATTGGCCTTGCTAAAAGGAGACGGATGGTCCCATTGTATAACGTAAAACCCATGGCCCGTTTTCATAGGAATGTCAATCTTCAGGTCCGCTGCTTGGCAGAGGTAAGGTTCAAGTTTCAGAGCTAAAGCCGAACCCAAGCCCTGCTCTAGCAGAATCAAAAGCAAGCACCAAATTCTCCGATGTGTTCGCTTTCAGTGGGACTGCACCGGAGAGGATCAACGGTAGGCTGGCGATGGTTGGGTTTGTGGCGGCGTTGCCGGTGGAGTTAATGAAGGGTCAAGATGTGTTTACCCAATTATCGGACGGTGGGATCCCGTTGTTCGTTGGGTCGAGCATCCTGCTTACGCTGGCATCTTTGATTCCATTGTTTCAAGGGGTGACGGTGGAGTCAAAATCGGGTGATTTGATGAGTTCGGATGCTGAGTTGTGGAACGGAAGATTAGCAATGTTGGGACTCGTTGCCTTGGCTTTCACTGAATATGTCAAGGGTGGAACCCTTGTGTAATATACTGTTTCTCGCTCTTTGTTCTCATGTGGAATATATAAATTGCATATAAGGACAAATCTGTCATTTAAGCCTTGTAATTTGATTTTGCATTAATTATATATAATTAAAATAATTAAATCACTAATATTTAATCTATTTGTAAAACATACATATATTTATTTCATCTTCTATTTCATACTATCAAAATCATAAATTTGTATAAAATTAAAATAATTAAATCAATAATATTTAATCTATTTGTCAAATATACATATATTTATTTCATTTATAAGATTAGTATGTTTATTTGTTTCATTTACAAGATTAAAATTTAACTATATTTGCTTCATTTACAAGATTAAAATTTAACTATCTATCCTTATGCAAAAGAAATAATAAAATTTTAAATATTTATTTTAAGTAAAACAATTACATAATTAGATGAAAAATTAATCTATTTTATACATTAGATTTCATGATTCAAAAAAGATTTGAAACAATTAAAATAATTCATATAATTATTTTTAGTTTTGGAGTGAAATAATATTTAATAGAAATGGAAAGGAATAATCGAGTCCTCTTTATTAAGGTTTGCAAATATTTATCTACCGCAAAAAGGACCTCTACAGTGTTTCAAACAAATATAAACAGAAGAATAACAAGAATACATTTTCTGCTACTTTTTCATCTTTTCATGTATTTACAAAATACACCACAAACCGTACATGCATAGCACAAGCGTATGGTATACAATGCCTTTTTTGTTACGGATCAAGCTGAACTCGGTGTTCGATCAACTCCCCGTTTTGATTCGTATTCGGTTCTTCATAGTAAATTTGTTTCTGCAAAATAGTTGATGAACAATATGAATTGGAAATCCAGCCTGATGCACAACCAGTGATGTAGAATGATATGTTGAAAGAATCATTCATATAAAGGGAACTCGACAACGGAATCGCATAATTAGCCGATGAAACTTAAAGCGAATTGTATACTTACATTGGCATGCAGATCAACATGGAACAAGTTTATAGCGTCTGCATTAAAACTGAATCCGCTGAACGGAAAATGGGACGGAGAATGCATTAGAGATCGGCGACAACCATATGCAGGGCAGAAACATAAAAGTAAAGCATTGTTTAAAGTGAAAGTCGCATTTGATCAGTTCAAAAATGCAAATTGTTTAACATAGCAACAACCAATAGTTATGGTATAATAATGTGTTATATATGTATATGTGTGTGTGTATAATGTTATGCTATTCTCCATATTGCACCAATTGTGTTGTGTTATACTGATTCTTTTGTATCGCATTCAGTCTATCTATCGACGATCCACATAAGCACCAGCGGATGGTGGAAATTTTTATTAGCCTTGGCACCTCAATGTTTGGGGAAATTTGCATTTTACTACTCATTTTTTAGAAATTTTAATTAGGCTCCTTTAAAATTCTTAGAAATCATTAAATTTTTTAATGTTTTGAATTAAGCCCATCAAAATTGTTAAAAATTCTTATTAAACCTCTCAAATTTTTTGAAAATTTTAATTAAGTCCTTCAATTTTTTGAAAACTTTGATTACCCCCCAAACTATTCTGCTAAGATCCCCACTGGACATAACCCTAAAATTAAACAGAAACAAATCCCACAGATCAATTCAATTCAAAATGCATGGATCAAACAACCATAGGTCATGGATCAAAGTTTTCCGACATAAAAAAAAACCACCCAAAAACATTAAGGAATAAATGATTCCACCAAAGAAAATACATCGCATGCCTCAACATGTCACTGAAAAAAAAATCTTTACTAAAATAATTAGAAAATATCATTAAAAAATCAACCTTCAGTGAAATTCAATACACAGCTATCAAATTAACCCAAGTTTCACCAATAAAAGACATCGAGCTTAGATATCGGATAATAAACTTACAGTGAAATCAATGCCAGGGTGGTCGGAGCCCCAGAAAATGTCGTGGACAACGACGACAAAGTTGCCGGAAATCGTGTCTCCTTCGTAAATCACATACTCGTACACACATTCGACGTCGTTTATAGTCACCGAAAAAGTTTTACATTGTGTAAGTGGATCTTCTAAAAATGGACCGAGGGAGTGTTAGAAGATGTGGTCGCACCCTCTAAAAATTTAAAATTATATTGTATTTTAAGATTTATATATATATATTATATGCATTATATAAATTCGTATATCTTGAGATTTTATAGTTTTACATTCCAGACATGAATTTCTGCTTACGTATTTGTATATATCCTCGTTATTATTGTGGATTCTTTACATTTTCCTTTTTAAAATTATTCATAAGTTTTATATAAAAGTTATTATTTAAAATTCATATTTTTTAATTTAAATATCTATATTTTTTAGATTAATTTTATATGTAAATATGATAGAATTTTGTTGAATTAATATTTTTATTAATGTGACATTTTAACAATTAATCAATTTCTTAAAAAGACCTTAATAAGAATTTATTTGATGAGTTCGAATTTAAACAACTACATCCATAAGGTGTGTATATAATATTATAGATAAAGAAAAATCCTAAAAAATATTATTTTTTACTTTATATTATTCAAAAAATCTTAATAAATAAAATATTAACATCATTAAATGTCATACCAACATATATGAGATTTCTTCTGAAGTTCAAACGTTAAAGTGATTAAATATATATATATAAGCTAATAAAACCTGTTAAATTTTAATACCTATTTATATATTATATGATTTTATGTTTACTAGTAGTTTATAAATTAGAGTTATAAGGTTATAACTGGTACCTTCATTTTTTTATTACTTTTTATGTATGTCGTAATCGTCTTTCGGTTGAGCTTCGGAATTGGGCTTCGACTTAGGTTAAATGAGTTGGAGTCGCCACCGATATTTTATTTTAAAATAAATGGGTATATCATATACCTTATTTCTTACCTGATATGCTTCTTACCAAAGATGTGTCGGATTCGAGAGTCGGTTACAGTAAAAGAAGGGTTAGCACCCTTGAACTATCCTTTCGGTACTACATAATTTCCAGTTGTCTTAAATTAAGAAAATTGAAGGCTTAAATTAAAAGGTAAAAATATGATCCGAATTACTTACCTCTGATTGGCTGAACGAAAACCCTTAAAAAGACTTAAATGTTAAATTTGGAATGAGAAGCCGAATTCAATATAAAATGCTAATAAACAAAAAAAAAAGATGAAAATGATAATAAAATAAATAGCATAAGAAAAACAAATAAAATGATAAAAATAAATAAATAAAAAATAAAATGAAAAAATATAAATAAGGAAAAAATATAAAAACATAAAGAGAACAAAAATAAAACAAGAGTAAAAAATAAAAACAAAATGAAAATGACACGTACACAAAAGTAAAATAGATAATAAAAAATATAAAAGACATTTATATATATATATATATATATATATATATATATATAATAAGTTATCATAGTTAATAAAACAAATAAAAACAATAGGAATTTGGTTTTGTTGTTGTTCTTGCTGCAAAGACATCATGATTTCTGGTAATAAAACACTCCACGTCACCCAACTTTATCATGTGTGGACAACCAATCCCACGTGACTCAGTAACCTTTTAGAATTATATACAAAATCACGTGGACGCATAAGTATCCACTACCCCTTAGCCCCTCCTATGCTATTTAAGCTAACGCTGCAAATTTAACTCACCATCATCGATTCATCATTCATAAAATTATTGCCTGCACTTTCTCCATTACAGCTTCACTTTAGGGTTCTTTATTTTCTTCTTCTTCTTCTACCACGTATCAAAAACTGTATATTTCGACGTAAATGGCGGCTACAAATGCAATGCAAATGCAATCCCTCCTTCTAGCAAGCCCCGTGACTGGCCTTGCTAAAAGGAGACGGATGGTCCCATTGTATAACGTAAAACCCATGGCCTGTTTTCATAGGAATGTCAATCTTCAGGTCCGCTGCTTGGCAGAGGTAAGGTTCAAGTTTCAGGGTCAGGGTTTAGGGTTTAAACGGGGTTTAAAGTGATTCTGCTTTTGCACTTGCAGGAAGATGATGTAAAGGAGAAAATACCGACAGCAACGGCGTCAGAGCTAAAGCCGAACCCAAGCCCTGCTCTAGCAGAATCAAAAGCAAGCACCAAATTCTCCAATGTGTTCGCTTTCAGTGGGACTGCACCGGAGAGGATCAACGGTAGGCTGGCGATGGTTGGGTTTGTGGCGGCGTTGCCGGTGGAGTTAACGAAGGGTCAAGATGTGTTTACCCAATTATCGGACGGTGGGATCCCGTTGTTCGTTGGGACGAGCATCCTGCTTACGCTGGCATCTTTGATTCCATTGTTTCAAGGGGTGACGGTGGAGTCAAAATCGGGTGATTTGATGAGTTCGGATGCTGAGTTGTGGAACGGAAGATTAGCAATGTTGGGACTCGTTGCCTTGGCTTTCACTGAATATGTCAAGGGTGGAACCCTTGTGTAATATACTGTTTCTCGCTCTTTGTTCTCACGTGGAATATATAAATTGCATATAAGGACAAATCTGTCATTTAAGCCTTGTAATTTGATTTTGCATTAATTATATATAATTAAAATAATTAAATCACTAATATTTAATCTATTTGTAAAACATACATATATTTATTTCATCTTCTATTTCATACTATCAAAATCATAAATTTGTATAAAATTAAAATAATTAAATCAATAATATTTAATCTATTTGTCAAATATACATATATTTATTTCATTTATAAGATTAGTATGTTTATTTGTTTCATTTACAAGATTAAAATTTAACTATATTTGCTTCATTTACAAGATTAAAATTTAACTATCTATCCTTATGCAAAAGAAATAATAAAATTTTAAATATTTATTTTAAGTAAAACAATTACATAATTAGATGAAAAATTAATCTATTTTATACATTAGATTTCATGATTCAAAAAAGATTTGAAACAATTAAAATAATTCATATAATTATTTTTAGTTTGGAGTGAAATAATATTTAATAGAAATGGAAAGGAATAATCGAGTCCTCTTTATTAAGGTTTGCAAATATTTATCTACCGCAAAAAGGACCTCTACAGTGTTTCAAACAAATATAAACAGAAGAATAACAAGAATACATTTTCTGCTACTTTTTCATCTTTTCATGTATTTACAAAATACACCACAAACCGTACATGCATAGCACAAGCGTATGGTATACAATGCCTTTTTTGTTACGGATCAAGCTGAACTCGGTGTTCGATCAACTCCCCGTTTTGATTCGTATTCGGTTCTTCATAGTAAATTTGTTTCTGCAAAATAGTTGATGAACAATATGAATTGGAAATCCAGCCTGATGCACAACCAGTGATGTAGAATGATATGTTGAAAGAATCATTCATATAAAGGGAACTCGACAACGGAATCGCATAATTAGCCGATGAAACTTAAAGCGAATTGTATACTTACATTGGCATGCAGATCAACATGGAACAAGTTTATAGCGTCTGCATTAAAACTGAATCCGCTGAACGGAAAATGGGACGGAGAATGCATTAGAGATCGGCGACAACCATATGCAGGGCAGAAACATAAAAGTAAAGCATTGTTTAAAGTGAAAGTCGCATTTGATCAGTTCAAAAATGCAAATTGTTTAACATAGCAACAACCAATAGTGCGGACACCGGATTCTTTTCCTCCCACCACATTTCGGGTTATACTTTTTGTAAGGTTCGGATTCTTACCAGTGGGATAAGACGAGCTGCCAAACATATGGAATAAAGAACTCCTCCGGATGACTCTCTTGTTCATATGAGAAGTGTAACTGAGTGAACATCTGCCAACGATAGAAACAAAATGCATTGAAATGGAAGCATCCATACTTGATAATGAAATGATTTAGTGTGTGGATGGGTGTCCGTTTGAGTGAGTACTTTGCAATTCCAAAATTAAGCAATACTGTCATGTAATTTTACCTTCATCCCGTCACCTCGCCAAGATCGACAATTATTAATTATGAACAGGAGAACTTTTTCTACAGACAATTCACCATCCATTCTTTGCGCATCCATACGACTGTTGAAAAAATCTAATACCTATAAAAACCAAAAGAAGTACAAAGCACAGAAGGGGAAAACATTAGGAAATCTTAGGCATTGAAACAACTGTCTGAATTGCATCTTCGACGAGAACAAGTGGAAGATTAGATAACGAGTTTCATCACATAAACTCGTAGAGCATACATTATAAATATTTTCAAGCAGCTCGGCAAAGCGAGGATGGCTCTTGAATGGTTCAAAGACTTCCTGTCTGTGCATAATAGCATAGACAACCTGCACAAATGCATATGTTTGTTAGGGTTGCTGGAACGGAATGCATATAAGATAATCACATATAACTTTAATAAACAATATACCTCAGGATTCCGTGGCAGCGCATATGTCAAAATTGCATTTAATATTTCTAGGACAATTCTCAAGAAGTCGGTATAAATTTGCAATTCTGCTGACTGCAACAACAGAAATAAATACTCCTATTTTAGGATACAGTATACACAACATTTATATTTACAAAGGGCTACATCACATATGCCAAAATCAGGACAGTTACCATATCTTCCACGAGGCCATCTGCTGTTGAGATGGCTTTGTTTTGCAGTTTATCATCCCTTAGCTCTACCAGCTTGTTGTACCTAAACTCCAAAACATTTACAATAACAGTTAGAAAAACAGTGCTAACATTAAAATATGCATGAATCTTTGTTACTCAGACACAAGTTCAACACCGGTATGTTCAATATTTCCAAATATTTTGTGCTCGAGGGCCCGAAAAAGCATGTCCGAATAAGCATCAACATGAGAGTCGAAGACTGGTACTTTCAAGCAAAACGAAGGGTTGTGCAACATAGAAAAAATCACCAAAGGGTCAATGGAAAAACCAATAAAACACTAGGGTCTAACAAAAATTGTGGTCAAAACATAAATGGACTTACTTGCGTGAAAGCATATAGAAAAGGCTGACAAGTCTCTGAGAAGCATATGCACTCAAGCGATGGACATGAGGTGCCATATTTGCCAAAGTTGCTAGACAAGTAGTATGGAGATAGACATCCTGTTCATTCATGAAAAAGAAAAAGAATCAACTCCAAAATAACACACTATTAACAGATATAGAACCCATGCAATCAAATATTACTGTCCTAAATCTGGAAACTACCATATGAAGAGAGAAATCCAGCAATTCAACAATATTTCCCTGGAGTGTACTTCTCTATACATAATATCATCTAGTAAGAATTTACGATATTTTTGAACCATACCCGCAACTTTGACAAGTTATACTGGACAGTCCTTATCAAAATTATGACCATCAGGGAACCAAGAGATGTCTGGTGAAGGAGATGCTCGTTATACCATGGAACACCAGGCAGCATCTGCCCATATAAATAAGACATTAAGGCAATACTCATTCATCAAAGTCAAAATCTGAAAAAGAAAAAAAAAAGAGATGCTTACCATCTTATGAATGCTTCCATTGAATGAAGAATCCTGACTAAGTATGAGGAGTATAATCAGCAACATGTATATTTGATTTGATGTCCTCCTTGAAGCACAGTATAATGTTTCCAAGATGGGCATCAACTGTTGATATTCATCGTATAAACACAGATTAAAACCATATGTGGCATACCATATATACAAGCTTAGGTGTTTATACCATGTGTATACTGAAGAATATCAATGAACGACTAAAAACAAATGAATAAACAAGATCAAGCAAAATCTGATGCAATGTGTGTGATTCGAATGCTTGATATAATTAGAAAATATTCAAGCTATTTCTTCCTTTTACACCAATGTCAAATAAGACACTACCCCATTTCATATATTGCAGCAAATACCTGGAAAGTAGTTTTGCAAATGGAATTGCCCAGGGTTATATATGTAATGCAGATAGTTTAAGCTAGAGCTTCTTACCAAAGTATCCAAATCCGTTCGCACTAATACATATTCCAAAAAGTCAGAGTTTCCTTGCAGCAATGAGTAAAGTAAAAGGACAGCAGTCTCATCGGCCAAGCACCTGCAGATGGGAACCATTATGAATTACCAAACAAGAAACAAAAAGAAGCCAAGAGAGATGAATTTTGATTCCAAATATAGTAAAGAGTGGCACAGCATTTGTGTCAATCAGAGTTTATAGCTATGCTGAGGATAGATGCACCATATAATAGAAGTTTACACTTAAGTCAATTTTTCTTTATAAAACAATTTAAAACAAAAATCAATTAAGAAACAAACGAGAAATGGGGCAAAGAAAGCCAACATCAATTACCAAGGAATAGAACCCATTTTTAGCAAAATGTTAGCAAAAAATAACAGTAATAAAGAGCAGTCATACAAACGTCTTTGCCGAAGTTGGCCACTATGAATATGAAGGAAAAAAACAAAAGGAACTTAATATCTCATAAAGGCGATTTTACTCATTCACATAGTGATAACAGAATAGAAAACACTTACATGCCAAGGGTGTCAAATAGGGATGCAAAAGGTAATCTCACGACTGGTCCATTTTGTGCATTCCCCTCAATATCGGCACGATCAACTGCAAGCAGAATTCTTATACATTCACCAAAAGTGTAGCATGCCATCATAATGACGAGCATGGAAAAAAGAGTGAAAAATATATGAGAAATGCTATTTGTCCTAAAAAGATATTGTAAAGAGATCTCACATTCAATGTCCCTTGCATTTTCTAGGGCCTTGTTGTAGGGGTTGACAGTAAAATATGTATTTACATTAGAAACAGTATCTGAAGTGGTCCTTTCATCACTTTTATCTGTTATCAACCCGTCACTTACAACACATTTATGGTAATGAATAAGTATAAGTAGCACATGGAGACTGCAGTCTGCCAGTTGATTTCTAGAGCCTTCACTATTTGAACTGATCAAATAATTGAATGGCAACAACACAAGGTTTGCTGCAAACATAGCATACACGTTATCACAAACATACTCTAGTAAAAGTTACCTGCAGTACTGGACCAATATTAGGGCTCGGTATTTAATAAGAGCATCAAAGCAAAGATCATACCAGCAGCAGAACCAACTCTTTGTAAAACACCCCGTTGACTTTCCTCAGAAAAAATAGAATAAGAAGCAGCACTACTAGAAGGAAGACGAGGCCGCATTATATAATTGAGTAGCAATCTGCGAACCACTAAATTAACCAGCAAACTTTCCTGCTAAGTGAAGAATAAGTAAGCAAATTTGAAATTTTTGGCGCAAAAAATCAAGCTAAGGTTTGAACTTATAACCTTAGACATCGCAGCATCAAGAAAAGGGTTTACATCTTTCGGCCCTGGGGTTGGTCCAGAAAGAAGTTGAGTTGACATTGCAACAAGCATGAAGCTAAGCAACTCCTGGTGTAGAAGGGACGTCGTAGGACTTGCGAGGAAAATAATGTAATATTAGGAGAAATTCAAGTAGAAATGCCAATGTTAGAAATGCATAACTACGCCATG